ATTTTGGCCAATCAGGAACAACCCTATACCGTCGCAGGTGATGCTCAGTTGACCATGTTCGAGGCAATGGGAACGACGACGACATTGATGCTGCGAATGTTGGTTATGTCACTAACTGTAAATAGTGATATGTAGTGTCACAATTAGGTATTGTGCTTTGCACCTTTTTTGGCAATTCCAGGGTTAAATGCATTGTTTAAAATTTTCTCAGGCTTAAATAATGTCTAAAGTAACTTGAATAACGGTTGGGTGCGTTGTTTAAAGTTACTTCATCTAATGCGATGATTGGTTGGTTGTAGGTGGTTTTACTGGCACTTTCGTAAAACAAGTTGTTTGCCGTTTTCATTCTGGCAAACAACTTGCTTTACGTCAACATGTCAAGGTGCTTGACGCAATGAAACTGAAGGAGCTATGGCCAAATACATGACCTCCCATCCGTGATCACTACAGTACTAACATTATCTACTCCGAGTAATGTGTATAACGTTAGGGATATAGTCAGGCTACAGTACATGTAGTCGTCGCTCTGTCCAATGATTCAAAGCTATGCCATACCTACAATTCTTGATCTGCTCTAACCTTAGCACTGTACGTGGAAGGCAAGGGCGCACTACGACTACACGATGTATAGTACCCCCATTTCACAGCCTAATACGGTATGCATCGTGATGAACTGGTGGTTGTACGGCGTAAGTTGGCCTGGTGCTGCAGCTCGATTAGTTAGCAGCTGAAATAAAGTAAGAGTTGTTTTATTCTGCTGAAATGCAGAACTTGTGTTTAGCGTTGTTTTATCTTCAATCGGGCTTATATTATTTTAAACGTCTGGTTGTTTAACGCAGTTAAACAACGGGCAAACTACATGAAAAGCACAATAATTAATACTAGTATTCATAACGTTATTGTGCATTTCACAAGCCTTGTCAGCCATATTTCGCATTTGATCCAATTTAAGCTGTAAAAACTATATACTAGTATATAAAGAGTAGTATATGTGTGTTTTGCCCAATGCGGAGGGACTGAGCCGATTCAAAAGTTTGGATTGGCAGAAATTCGACAGGACGTAATTTGATTGGCTTAGGTGGTTCTTTACTCCATTCGATTTTGCATTTGACGTACGATATTTGATGTTGCATTAGGCTGGCGAAAGCCATTCCGACGATATTTTCAGTGGCCGACGTGAGCTGCATGGATGAGGTAGACATATATTGCATAAAAATATTTTACATGATATAAGTCATGTGTGTGCTGAAAGGACTGTACATGCATTATTTATTTATAATATACTACGTAGTATATTTGTACAGTACTTCAAGTATATGAGATTCACGGATATTCATGGTAGGATAGCAACACACCAAACACCACTGCAAGTTGCTACAGAACGTCGAGGTTATTTCCATATTGTTGCCAGCTTCGAACACCACACTGGAAGACCACCCGAGAAGGCGGATGTTCCAACGACGAGCGACGACTAACCGTCTACGGAGCCATCCACGATGCCTTGTGTGGTTTGTCCAGACTAAACGTGGGTAATCGTAGGGGCTAAACTAGTGCATATATATACTATAACGTACCGTAGACTGTGCAGAAGTAGATTTTCGGTAGCACGTGTATTACCTGCGAGTAGTGCTTAAGTCAAACTCCTCAACAACACGTTGGGTGGTTGATATCCGTAGAATAATTCGACAAATACAAAGGAACGCATACGGACGGTATAACGTTATAGTGTACCCTACTCTGCCCATATGGTCTTTCCGATTGAAGGGGGGCCATATGATTGTCGCCAGTTCATTCTCAAACGCAATGAAAACAATGCAATTCATGTGCAATAACATAGCTTCAAATCATATGGCTACACGAAAAGGAGGCTTCGCACGAGGCCTGTGGCAATGCCACCTGCAAAGATGAAGGGCAGGACAATCAGCGACGATTTCATGAGCAAGGCCACTCCAGACAGTCCGTGGCCAGAAGTACACCCGCAGGCAACTGTGGATCCTACCCCAATGAACGCCCCACCAACTAACGACGCCGCCACCGACGGAAGCGAGCCAATGGGGAGGGGCGGGGTGGAGGTGGCTACAGCCGACCCAGCGACGACGGACACGACAAACACCAAAGTGGAGAGGTCCGAGATGGTAGGTAGGTGGAGGAATTGCGTCACTTCTCGAACGGGGGAGAAGATCTTGTCAAGCAGAATCTTGTACGACAACGTAGCCCCAAGCGATCGGTGGAGGATGAACACCAGGGGCAGCTGGAGACTACCCACTGCGATTCCGGCTAATGTCGGGAGCCAAGCTGAGCTGGGAAGGGGGAGCTCCGGGGCGACAAACTCGAGAGCTACGGACGACCCAAGAATTACCACGCCAAGTAGGGCGTGTGCAGGCCACGACAAGAGCACAGTTGTGTTGATTCTGCGTTTGTTGGCTTGCCACTGCGCAATCTAGCATCGACTTGATTAGACAGGATTTCTTTCAAGCGATACGTACCATAGGTTTAGCAAGTGCAGTCGCGAGCAGGGTGCCAGCCAAGACCCCCCCAAACACCGGCAAAGCCGTGGGGATCCCGGCGCCCAGCTGCACATACACGGAGCCCGGACACGAGCCCGAGATGTCCATCCCGATGCCGAGAAGGAGGCCCCCCGTAGCCAGCACCACCGCGTGACTCGGGTCAGCCGCCCGCTTCCGCTGGATGGCTTCGAAGTCCTTTGGTCGTAGGGCATGGAAGATGGCTTTGGACACGACGGACGTGCCCAGTGCCGCGAGGAACATCTTCATCATGGTGAACTGAGACATCGACATTTGGTTTTGGATGACCATGGGCAAGTGTACTTGGCCCTAATAGGACGAACGTGATAAGAGGGCGAGATGAGGATGTATATGAAGTACTTTATTCATGGCAAAACCGAACGCTGCCCCAGTGGTGACCATCACGCCTAAAGACGACGGCGATTTCCACGCGGAATCAGTCATGATCGTGGTAGTTGGCAGATTGGATACTGGAGACGTCTATATTTGGAGGAGCTTAATGTTCAAAATAGATGTATTTTTAGTAATCCTTCGCATCTAGGTCCAAATGGATTGATGAGACATTATTCATGGTCGATGACCTAATCATGACATGATGACTAACTCTGGCAGCCATACTGTTGATGCACTACAGTATATATTCTTGGTTGGCTGTTCGACTCGAGCTAGACTCGAGCTACAGTACAGTATACGGTACAATGGCTATTGATTACTACCTCTGTCCTGAAATGTTCGCTACAATCAGATATTTTGAATTTTGAACGTGATATCGATCGAATTATCTAAACTGAGCAATATCTACGTGAAGAGGAGATTTCAGAACACACCAATCAAGATGCTTCGAGCCAAAAATGAACCAATCAAAGAGTAAAATTCAGTAGTATATATCTCATACTTTATCCTATATGATATTCTGCGTAACCGTATCCGGATGACCGATTCCCGGGTAAAACTTCATTTATCCGAACAAGTATTTAAGAATGTCACCAAGAATTTGTTCTACTCGGACCGGACTGCTGTCTTGCAGCAGTACATTCTCACACTGTTCAATGACCAAACAACCCTCCCGCATGGTGCATTTGCTGCCGTGGCTGCCAACGTCGGTGTGGCAAGAAGAACTGTGCGCCTTACAGTATATGGGTGAATATGATCACGTTCGGACAATTTCAGTCGGACATACTTGGCATTTGTATTGGACTTAAGGGGAACATATTTTGTCCGAATGAAAGTGTCCGAACGAATATGTTTGGACATACTTGTGCATTGTAGAAACCCGCATAAGAACGATCCGCCCTCAAAATTGCGCGCACCGCAGCGTAGCGGAGGTCGTGTGTATAATTTTGTGCAGGCGGTGCCTTGGCGAGGAGTGAGCCCCAATCGTGCACTTCACCGAATGTCCAATCGATTCCTCTTGTCGGGAAAAGCGGCAGGTAGGCCGCAGGCCGTGCCGCTACCCCGACAAGGCCTGTGGTACAACTTTTCGCATTTAATGCGTAAATTCGGTTAAGTGCGTGTCCGAAGCACATATCCAGCAAATATTTGTCCGAGTCGTTATGGTATGGAAACGTACCGCCGTCAATCTAAACGACAAGCTCTGTGCAAGTTCCGACGTGTCGTCACGTATCAAGGTTCATAGAGTTTCATACGCAGCTGAAGGGTCTTGATGTGCAAGAAGTTGTCGACGATGATGCAATTGACATTGTGCAAATCCTGCGGCTCAATACAGTACTATTTAAA